GTCTAAGCTGCAGAAGAGGGTGGAGGGGAGGAAGTGGTCCTTCATTTGGAACAACTGGTCATGAGGCAGGGAAATTTAGAAGCTAGGCAGCAGCGGAAGTAAAATTCTGCAGCTTTTTAATGACTGATTCTTTCTGATTAAGACACAGTATAGTCATAGAATAAAAGGCGCTGGACAGATGCTATCTTCTACAAGTTTGAATGAGTTAGGAAAGGTCACTTGGAGCCCAAAAGGAGGCTTTTCTTCCACAGATGTGAAGCACAGAGCCACAGTCTTAGCCAATTAGTGTTAAGTACCATTATTACAGCGGGAAGTTCCTGTCTGAAGCCCTGAGGCAAGTTGGCAGACAGATGGCTGAGCTGGTGTTAGGGACCAAAAGGGACATAAGTATCAAAGTAGCTCTAGTGAAAAAACGTCTGTGGAAGCTCCAAGAACACCAGCATACAATTACAAACTAATACTTTGGGAATTAGAGACAATGTAAGGTTGGAGGGGGAAACCAATGCACAAATACTTTTATGGTTATTTTCTATACTTGCCCAATGGGAGTTTTTCTCTTTTTAACTGTACTTATAACTTTCATAGCTTTTATATCTTGGTAATAAGGATGAATTTTTATATTTTGTGTAAGAGTAGATATTTTGGAGTTATTGAGAGATATATGGGGTATTCTGGTTGATTCCAAAGAAGTAAACTACAGAGACAATGTAAAATGAATAAGAAGTCCCTCTGTGGTATGTGACTTAAAAATAAATCTGAGGGGATATGTTATAGTAGTTAAATTTCCATAAAGTAATGGCAAAATAACATATTTCCTAACATTTTTGAAGTAGTTCTACCCTCATTGGTTGTTGTTGTTCAGTCTTTTCAGTTGTGTCTAACTAAACATGACCCCAATTGGAGTTTTCTAGGCAAAAATACTGGAGTGGTTTGCCATTTCTTTCTCCAGCTCATTTTACAGATGAGGAAACCAAGGCAAACAGAATTAAGTAATTTGCCCAGGCTCACACAGCTAGTAAGTATATGAGTCTGGATTGGAAGTCAGGTCTTCCTGACTCCAGGCCTCAGCGCCCTATCTACTGCATAACCTAGCTGCCCAAACCTCACCAGACTTTCCTTTAACATTATTTAGATCTTCTGAGAAGCTAAATATTCATTGGCAAGTCACTGACAATGAAGAAAGCTCTTTCATAATACTCTGAATTTTTATTATGTCATTTCTCACAATAAGAGGCAAATGGTCTCATAGTCTGAAAGAGCTGACGCTCAGGCCCGGCATCTGATGCCTCTGCTTGTTTGACCCTTGGCCAGTTATTTAATTGCGGGTGCTCTGGGCAAATCTCTAAAACTAAAAGTTACAGAGAAAGGAAAGGGGAAGGGAACAAACATTCACTAAGCACTTACTATGTGCTAGACATTATACTAATTGTTTTGTAAATATTGTCTAATTTGATCCCCACAACAACTCTATAAGTTAAGTGATATTATTATCCCCATTTTATCATTGAGGAAACTAAGTCAAACAGATGTTAAATGATTTGAGCAGGATTACACAGCTAGAAAGTGTCTGAGGCTGGATTTGAACTCAGGTCTTTGTGACTCCAGGCTTAGTGTTATCCACTGTGCCATCCAGCTGTGAAGAAAAGGTGCCAAATGATTCCTAAATGGTCCTAAATGATAGATCCCTTCAGGAATGAAAAAAAAAACACCACACACCAGGTTTAGTTTCTATCTCTTAGCTCCTCTTGTTATATTTATAACATCACTGTAAAATAAAGTCAGTGTTAATAGTCCCACTTAATTGGCCATATTGAAGCATGAGATAAACCACTTACCTCAAAACACAGGACATGTGACCTAGTTTATTGAACAATATAGTCTAATATAACATGTGTTCTGGATCTACTCTCCCAATTACTATTTGCACTGACAGGTTGGTCCACCAAGTGTGGCTGTTACATTTCCCTTCAGGATTTCAAAGTAATGTTCCAATGTTATAGCTCACAAGCCCCCACTAGTCCCTCCAATGATTACTGGTTTATATCAATTAGTCACTAAGACTTAAGTTGTTTTTGTAAAGTACTTACTAAGGTAATATAGTAAGAAATGTTGGTACAAAACATCTCTCTTTCCCCACCAAAAAAAGTCAGGGTCACACTTTCCCACTAGTATATAAAGAGTCCAGGGGAATTGGACTCAAGAATAAAGATCACATGGCAAAGGGATTACAGTTCCTGGAAACCTTTTTGCTAGATTCCTGAAGTTGTTTCTCTTGTTTACAATGTAGTTTTTCTGCTGGGTTCTTTAGAGAGTCTATATCTCTCTAGAGATGGAGTTCATCCTCATGCTTCCAGACATTGCTGTTCTGGATGGTGCCCCAATAAGGGGTGGCTAAGTGGTGCTAAGGATAGAGCAGTAGGCCTGGAATCAGGAAGATATGAGTTCAAATCTGGCTCCAGACACTTACTAGCTGTGTGACCTTAGGCAATTGACTTAACCCTGTTTGCCTCAGTTTCCTCAATTTGGACACATTGGAGAAGTAAATGGCAAACCACTCCAGTATTTTGCCAAGTCAGACACCACTGAATGACTGAACAACAACAATAGTACCAATAAATAGTGCAAATTCTTTGGTCCTACAAAGTTCGCAAGATCTTCCTCCAGTGAAGTAGGTGGGAGGCCAAGACTGAGACTTGGGTGTTCTCCTCTCCCATTTGGATTTGTCTACCACCAAAACACTGGATGCTAGATTCAATGGTTAGAAACTGTCTTCTTGTTTTTTTACAAGCTTCACAGGGCATGACTAAGTCCCTCAATCAATATAAACATTCTTCCTAGAAAAAGTAACCTATTAATCCAATGATTTTCAAACACGTCTAAATTGATTAAAGATTTTTCATGTCTAGTCTAAAGCCAATGCTTGATTGATTCAATAGAAGTATACAAGCCTTATTAAAACCTAGTCACTCTATTTTGCAATCTGCCTGGTTTCAACTCCAGGGAACAACTTACTCCCCCTCCCCAGAATAAACTCATCACTTCTTAACTCACCACAATGCCTTCATTGGTCTCCCCCCTCAGCCTGCTCTTCCCTCTGATTGGAGGGCTGTAGGGCAGAATACCAAAGTCCTCCTGATGTTTTCCTTTATAGAGGGCAGGAACTGGACTCTCAGCTTACTCCATTTTTCATTTGCTTCTCTGCCTAACTTAATCTCTGTGGAACAAGGTGCCCCTATGCTGGATGCCCCTTGGTGTCCCCTTCTTGTCCTCTGCTTTCCTGCCTACTTTTCTTCGTTGTCTCATGCTTTAGGTTGTAAGCACTTTGAGGGCAAGGACTATCTTTCCTTTTTATTAATCAAATCCCCAACACTTAGCACAGTGCCTGGCACATAGTAGGAATTTAATAAATGTTTATTAAATTGAATTGGATCTAGTCAACAATCAACATGTTTCCTCACCTAGATAAGATATAAGAGTTTATCATCTTGTCATTTACTTTATTTTGGGTAGAGGTAATTATCTAAACTGACTTTCTCACTCTTAGACTAGTGTTGGCTCTATTGATCATATTACCAGACTAGATGCTTACCCAATCATTTGACACCTGACTTCAAACACTTTATCCTGATTCCAAATGGATCTCTCATTTTCTTGGTATTTGGGGGGTTCAATTCATTTTTTAATATAGAAAAGCTCAACTTTTCTTCAGATTAATTCTGTTATTCCCATTGAACATGAATAGAAACAATTGTTTTCCTGTATCATTCAGTCTGTGCCCTTTAATCTTTTTTTTTTTTTTTGGTGAGGCAATCGGGGTTAAGTGATTTACCCAGGGTCACAAAGCTAGTAAGTGTTATATGTGTCTGAGGCCGGATTTGAACTCAGGTCCTCCTGACCCCAAGGCCAGTGCTCTATCCACTTTGCCACCTGGCTGACCCTCCCTTTAATTATTTAAATAACTTTAAAGTATACAAGAGGCAGCATGACAAACTGGCTAACTCTCCACACCTGAGTATAAGGTCTGCCTCTGACATATACTTGTTGTGTGACCCTAAGCCAGTCACTTAATTTCTCTGAAAACTAAACAATTCTTTAAGATTATGAGTTACAAAAAAGTGCTGAAACTCATAGGTAGAATGAATTCCGCATCTGAAATTTCCCTAAATAAATGAAATGAGAGAGCCAGTTCCCATCTTTGATTTTTTAAAAATTAAAATGTTCTAAAATTGGGCAAAAGATTGAAAATACTTTTAGAAAAAGTAATTGTACAGAACCAGAAAAGATTTGTTGGCGGTTGAATGGTTCTTGCATTTTGAAAACAGCAATAGATTGCATTCAGTAATCACTTCAGAAGAATTACCTTCATTACAACATGTCAATGACAAGGAGTTTAAAAGTTTCATCCTGAGAGATTCATTTCACCTGAAGGCCTTCCATATAGGGTTATGGAAACAACAGATCTTTGAACTGAATTCTGCAGAAAGAGGACCCTTATTCTATGCTACATTATGAACCAAGATGTTTTCTGTACCTGATTGCTTCCACCTCCAGCATTAGGAACCCATAATCTTACCATACAGAATAGGCACTGCAGTCCCAGACAGGTTCAGGTTTGCTGGATATGTCAGAGGCATATTACAGTCATGTAATTCAAGGGATTTAAAATCAATTCAATTTAAATTTAAATTTGGTTTGGTTTCACTTTTTTTTCCTAACAAAGAGTTGCTATAGGTATCACTTCTTAGAAGCAATAAAGGCATTTCAAGGAAGGGAAAACAGACACTCCTGGGAATACATTTCAAATAGGCCATTCACATAATACTGAGCAAGAATAAGATGCTAATTAAATTAGTTTAGCCAAACCATCACAAGTCTGAGCCTGATGATGTGATGAATCAAGCTTCAGTGGAAGCACAGGAGGAATCTTTTCATGGTGGGTTTCATTTATTAAATAAATGTTTATTTGTGCCAAGCATTATATGCTGGGGTGAGGAATGGCAGAGGATACAAAGAATAGACATCATCTTCTATCTCCTCTTTCATTTTATTCTTCTTCCCATTCCTTCTTGCTTCTTAGGTTTTTGCTATACGTGGATCTTTGTCTTCTTCCTGCTTTCCTATCTGCTTACAAACATAAGAAAAAAATTACTAAATTATTTTAAAAAATAATGCTTCTGATGATTATTCTATCCATCCCCATTTTTCGCCAGATTATCATCTTCCTCTTTACCAGTAAGGGTGAATATCCCCCAAAGCTGCTTCCTGTATCCTCTTCCCTTTTTCTATATGTTCATGAGCTGATAGCTGTAGTCATGTCAATAAACATTTATTAAGTGGTCATTATGTACCAGGAACTGTGTTAAGTGCTCAGTATACAAAGTAAGGCCAAAAAAACCCAGTCCCTCCTTTTGAACTCACCATCTATGGAGTTAAAGCATCCTCCATCCAACCAAAGACTCTCTTACATGATGTAAAAATGAAAGTGGCATAATGTAAGAAAGGCTGGGTTTGGAGCTAGGAAGACCCCAGTTTGAATCCTGCCTCACATACTTTCTGACTGGGTGACTCTCTCACAGCCTCCATTTCCTCACTTGTAAAATGGTGATAATAATACCACCCACTTTGCAATATTGTTATGAGGATCAAATGTGATAACATGCATAAAGTGCTTTTCTCCATAGATACTTATTATTATTATTGTTATAAAATGTGAATATGTTGGTTTCTTTAACACCTAATAAAGTACTTTGAGCAAAGGAGTTGCTTACCAAGTGCTAATTGGATTAGACGGGCCCATAAAAATAATTCAGTGTGCAAGATCTTGACAGGTGATGGTTTTACAAACACTTGTGAGCCTTATGGTTTTCAAATTGCTTATCAGTAAATGATGGTGTGATGTGACATTTGCATCATTAAAAGAGAAGAAATGACAGTAAAGGCAAAATATTGTGTCCTTGATGGGAAAAGGGTGAAGGAATAAGCATTTATTTATAACCTACCACGTGCAAGGCACTGTGCTAAGCACTTTACAAACATTATCTCATTTGATCCTTACAACAACGCTGTGAGATAGGTGTTACTATCATCCCTATTTTATAGTTGAGGAAACTGAAGTAAACAGAGGTTAAGTGACTTTCCCAGGCCCACACATCTAGTAAGTGTCTAAGACCACAATGGAGCTCATGTCTTTCTGACTCCAGGCCCAATACTGAGGGATATTGGCAGGTGTAATGTACTGAGCCACCAACTGCCTTAACGGTAGCTATGTTGGGTTCAATGGCAATGATGGACTATATCGTAATCACTTCTACCTTTTATACTAACCAGAATGAAACTTCTTTATTCTTCATTTTTTTTTCTAGGAAACAACCGGAATAAGTTATTAATGATTGTTTTCATGATTTTTCAGCATGTAAGTTAAGACATGTGCAGGAGTGTGTTAGAGCAAGCTTCAGCTAGCTTACTACAGTTTATACCTTATTAGGTAAATATTTAATGTGGGCATTTATACCTCAGAAAATTGGTAAATGTGACGACTCAAGGCATGTTTTATTGTTTTGTTAGTGAACTAAGAGAACTGGTAGATGCGATTACTCACTATCAGTGATGTTTGAGAGACTTTGGAAAGACAGGATATGCTATAGGCCTTGTGTGTAAGGTTCCTTTATCTCTTAATAGGTCAAAGAACTTGGGCAATATTTTAATACTCACCTCTTATACTTACCTCAACAGGCTTCGGACGTCTCCAGCACCAGCTTCTTTAAGCTGGAGAACACCCCCCACAGAACGCACGGGATAAAACAACTTTCAGTAGTTCCTCTTTATTCTTCCTCCCCTTCTCCTCCCCCTCCTCTCTCCGTTGCTCTTTTTCTTATCTATTTTCTCCTCCTAAGCTCCAAATAAGCTCCCATTGGTCACCCTTTCTTACCTCTGCCCAGGCAAGCCACTGTACGCAGCCCCGAAGATCTTGGCCTTGTGAGGAGCGCGTATCAAGAGTAGCGCTGACCAATCACTTACCCAAGATCGCCTCCTTCACCTATGTCTTTTACATGATACCAGAGGTCCTCAGGCGACTACGTGCACTCCCTTAGGCTAAAGGCGGCAGGGGAGTCCGGGTCAGTCGGGACACACCCTACACTTGTGAAAGCAAATATCCGAATCTAAAAAAAATTGAAATGAATAGAATCTAAAAACAATGGACTACTAGTCTGTGACTTTTAAAAGTTTTTTGATTCCTGCTAAAATTCTAAATCACACGTAAAAGGATTGATCTTTTGATTTGAACAGGGATGGTGAGTAAACTATAGGGGAAGCATATTGAAACACATGTTCTAGTAACAATGGAAGCATTTATTTGGTTACTGTGTTAGCACTGGGCAGGGAGATTCACTGTGGTAGCAAGGCTGATGAGGAGGAGACGGTCAGGAAGAAAGATGAAGGATGATGAAGCCTGCCTACATATGATAAGCCATGTAAAGCACTCACCAATCAGAGTAACACAGGTTCCAGAGCACAAATTCCCAAGGAAAAAAGGTAAATGCTCTAAGATATACTCTCTGGTCCAGAAGTTATAGCAAAGGAAGGAAATAAACATTTGTGTAGTGCCTTTTCTATTCTTGGCACTGTGCTAAGAGCTTTTTTATGAATATTGTCTCATGTGTGTTATTATCCCCATTTTACAGTTGAGGAAACTAAGGTTGAGAGAGGTTAAATGACTTGCTCAGGCTTATATAGCTAGTAAGTGTCATAAGCCAGATTTGAATCTAAGTTTTCCTAACTCTAGGCCCAGTATTGTATCCCTGCACCATCTAGCCACAAAGCTAGTGAGAAGAGAATCAAGGTAGACTCTAAGTTTTCCTAACTCTAGGCCCAGTATTGTATCCACTGCACCATCTAGCCACAAAGCTAGTGAGAAGAGAATCAAGGCAGACTATACATACATTCTCTACTCCACCTCCCATTATTATGTTCTGGCAATTGATATGTTGTGTTAAATTTTTTCCCTATTTCTCCCCCTATACATATGTATATTGTTTCCCTCACCAGATAATAAAAGAGCACTATATTGGAAAGACCACTGAACTTGGAGTAACAATACCAGAGTTGGAATCATGATACTGTTACTTCCCACCTGGGTAATCTTGAGCAAGACAATTATCTATGGGTCTTATTTTCCTCACTTTAAAAATGATGAGTATTGAGCCAGATAACCTTCAATGTCCCTTATCCCTATAGATCTATAATCCTTAAGGGTTAAAAAACTTACATTTCCATGCACCATCTATCTCTAAATATCATATTAAACTATTATCTATTGGGGACTCATTTTTATCAAATCAATTTTAAGTTGTAACAAATGTGAGTCTCTCCTCTGAGTCTGGGCATTGACTTCTTCATTTTGAAAAGAATTGAATTGGTTTAGGTGATCTTTAAAGTCCCTTTTAAGGTAGCTAGGTGAGGCATTTGATAGAGACCTGGACCTGGCATCAGGAAAATCTCAGTCCAAATCTGGCCTCTGGAACTTACTAGGTGTGTGAACCTGGGCAATTTACTTAACCTCTGTTTGTCTGTTTTATCATCTGTAAAATGAGGATAATAACATCTACTCCCAGGGTTTCTATGAGGATTAAATGAGATTATATGTGTAAATCACTTATTACAGTGTCTGACACATAGTGCTTAATAAGTGCTTGTTTCTTTTCTTTTCCCCACTCTAGATCTTATGCTATTTCTGTTATTTGCCTTGAAACAGATAGTGACAAACCACCAAATTTAGAACATTTTTATGTGATTATTAATGGCTTTGACTTCTTCTTCTGAAAATTGCTTGTTCATATCCATTTACCATTTATCAATTGGGGAAAGGCTCTTTTTTTTTTTATAAATTTAGTTCAGTTTCCTATATATATGAGTAGTGTACCATTATGAGAAAAACTTGCTGTAATCCACCCCCCTCCACCCCAGCTTCCTGCTTTCCTTCTAATTTTGGCTGCATTGGTTTTGTTTGTGCAAAACTATTTTTAAAAATTTCATGTTACCAAATTATCCATTTGCTTCCCATGACCCTCTCTATCTTTGGTTTGATCATAAATCCTTCCCTTATAACTCCTACTTTAAGAGGCATCAATAGCAGCATGGAAAAGCCCTGTACTTGGAGCTGGAGGAGCTGGATTTGAATCCCATCTCTGCTTGACTCTTGTTCCCTGTGTGATTTTGGATGAGTCATTTAGCTGCTTGCAGTCTCATCCTCCTCATCTAAGGAATGAGAATATTGGACAGAATGAGCTCTAAGGTCCCTTCCAGCTCCAAATTTATTTTCCTAACAAATAAATACCAAGACACAGGCTAAGTGCTTTGTTGAAAGTCACATGCATAGTCAGTCGCAAATCCACTTTTGGGCCTTCACTGTAAGCTCAGTTAGTCATAATATCTCTTTTTTAATATAGCCACATGTCTTCACAACTTCTTATCCTGTAATAAATTATGGATTCTAAATTCTATGGATCTAGTTATAGCACCAATAGAGAAAGCATTACCATGTCCTTAGGCATATTTCATCTCACCTGTCAAAAAACTATTTCTTCTGAAGATCCAGCTATTTCACCATGAAATTCCTCCTAAAAGTACATTTCAGACACTATGGCATTCACATTTGTTTCTCATTTCACAGCTCTTTTTCCATCAGACTCAGTTCCTCTCTTACAGAATTCTGATGAACAGTGACAAAGCCACAAGAAGTCAGAGAGGGAGAAGTGTCATTTAATATTGCCTGACTTTAACTATGACTCTGTAAAGAGCCTACCTTTTCTTTGGCATCAATAGTAACCATTATATACCATTTACATTTCAGAGATTGAAATAACAGTGTGCAAAGATCCCAGAATAGAGTTGGAACTATGTTGTTTTTTTTTTAATGTCTTGAAGTGATTTTCAAAGAACCATATAGCATGGTTTTATGGAGACATTAAAGGTCTGGAAAGACAGGAAGGAAATAAAGATAACTTTATCTTTCAAAGTGAACTAAATTGAGTTGCTTGCCTAAAGAAAATAGCTAAAGTGGTTTCATCTTTTTAAAAATTATTTTTATTTCATTGAATATTTCCCAAATACAAGAAAATAAAATGAAGACTTATTTTTTTTTTCAATTCTGAGTTCCAAATTCTCTTCTCCTTCCATTCTCCCTTTTTGGAAAGACAAGCAACTTGATATGAGTTATAGATGTGAAGTCATGGAAAACATATTTCCATATTAGCCATATTGCAAAAGAAAACTCAAAGTAAAACAATAAAAACAAGTGAAAATAGTATGTTTCATTCTGCATTTAGAGTTCATCAGTTTTCTTTCTGGAGTTGCACAGCATCTTTCAGCCTGGGTCCTTTGCAATTGTCTTGGATCACTTCTTGATTGGAGTAGCTAAGACTTTCACAATTGATCATCCTTAGTACATTGATGTTACTGTGTACAATGTTCTCCTGATTCTGCTCACTTCACTTGCATGAGTTCATATAAGTCTTCCCAGGTTTTTCTGAAACTGTCCCTTTATCATTTCTTATAGCACGATACTTCCATCACAATCATATACTACAACTTGTTCAGCCATTTCCCAATTGATAGATATCCCCTTGATTTCCAATTTATTATTTTTGTACAAATAGATCTACCCCCCTTAACATTTTTTCATTTATTTCTTTGATATTCTTGAATTTTGTCATTTTTTCTAGCTCTATAAAATAATTATTTGGCAATTTGGTTGGTATGGAACTGAATACGTAAATTAATTTAGGTAGAATTGTCATTTTTATTATGTTTGCTCAGCCTACCCGTGAGCAATTAATATTTCTCCAATTATTTAGATCTGCCTTTATTTGTCTGCAAAGTGTTTTGTAATTACATTCATATAATCCTTGAGGGCTTTTTTTACAGGTAGATTCCCAAGTATTTTATATTGACTACAGTTATTTTAAATGGAATTTCTCTTTCTATCTCCTGGTGTTGAATTTTGTTGTTCATATATTGAAATTCTGATGATTTGCATGGGTTTGTATTATATCTGGCAACTTCAAAGTTGTTAATATTTTCAAATATCTTAGTTGATTCTCTGGAGTTGTATGAGTATATCATTTCATCTGCAAAGTGATAATTTTGTTTCTTCATTGTCTATTTTTATTCCTTCAATTTCCTTTTCTTTTCTTTTTGCTATAGCTAGTATTTCTAATATAATACAAATAATAGTGGTGAAAATAGACATCCTTGTTTCACCCCTGATCTTAATAGGAAATCTTCTAGTTTATACTCATTTCAGATAATATTTGCTCTTGGTTTTAGATACAATTTATCACTTTAAGGAAAATTCCATTTATTCTTATGCTTTCTAGTGTTTTTTAAGAGGAATGAATTTTGTATTTTGTCAAAAAACTTTTTCTGCATCTATTAATGTAATCATATGATTTTTGTTGTTTTTGTTGCTGTTATAATCAGTTATGCTTACAGTTTTCCTAACATTGGACCAGCTCTAAATTCCTGGTATTGATCCCCCTGATTATGATGTATGATCTTTGTCATATATTGCTGTAATCTTCTTGCTAGTGAATTATTTAAAAATTTTGCATCAATATTCATTTGGGAAATTGACCTATAGTTTTCTTTTTGTTTGTGCTCTCCCTGGTTTAGGTATCAAATCCTTATTTGTGTCACAAAAGGAACTTGATAGGACTTCTTTACCTATTTTTTTCAAATTGTTTATGTAAAATTGGGATTAATTGTTGGGAACCTTTCATCTTAAAGACCTTATTACCTGGGTAGAAATCAAACCTGATAGAACTACACAATTTTGAGGGTTTGGGGCTGCCAGAACTTGTGATTTCTTGGTATACGGAGCTCCCTAGTGAGAACTTTTTTCTATCAATGTAGATCAGCAATTGTTCTGCTATTTATAATCTTAGAGAATGATTTAGGGGCACTAAGGTTAAATGACTTGTCCAGAATCATGTAGCTGATGTGTGTCAGAGCCAAGACTTGCACCCAAGTCTTTCTGATTCCTTGGCCAGTTCCCCACCCACTAGACCAGATTGCCTCTCCATGAAATAATACTCAGGAATAGTTTCAGTTGAATACTGCCTTTAACTGTAGGAATCAACAAATAGACAAGTTGCTCTTTTGC